TCTGTTAGATCAAAAGTTTGTCTTTAAAATAGAAGTTGATCTCTATTTTCCTCTTGGATGAGGTAGGAAGATAAGGTTTAATTAGTGATTTGTAGTGTTCCTTGGGTTCATTGATTAGTATTAGTATTTGATTAGGAAGTGATGTATTCAGATATATGTGTCTATGAATGTTTCTGTCATGAACTTGTGCCTTACAAGGGGAACAGTTATCTCATGCTGGTTGTTTATTTTTGTTTATTTCTGTTTACTTTTATGTTCATGTCTGTTCATTTGTCTGACTGTTATGAATGGGAAGTTATGTGTTATTTTATACAGTTGATTTGTTCACCATAGTTAATTACTACTGACTCTGCGAAGGTGTGAGATGTTAGAGACCTGACTGCCTGAGTTGTTTAAGTTGGGTTTCACTGGAGTATGTGAGAAAGACTCTGTTAAGGTTAAAGGTTTATCGAGGAGTTGTTAGTTTTGTAATACGGAAATTTTAGATTTAATTTTAGCTGTAGGAAGAGGTCAGTGTTTAACTACAGCTGTCAGAGTTTAGAGGCGTTAGAGTCTCAGGCCAACATGGTCACATTTTGATTTTCCCTATTCTGAGTTCCGATATGTTCCATAGTTTAAAAACTACGGAAGGGGGGACTGTGGTGGTTGAAAAATGAACCAGATTCCAGAGGAAATATGTAATAGAACAGTATGTAGCTCATATAGACCTTATTTGGTATTAGCTTATGCAAGTGGTTATATAATTAATACTTAGAATCCTAGTTACAGCCTAAGTATGGTCAGAGATGAACCCTCTGTTCCTTGGTGAGGGCCTTTGCCAGAACATTGGGAGTAAACCTTCCTGTCTTCTAGGAAGGCTGCAGAGGATTCTCAGAATGGAGTGAGAAGGGGGGCCGATAGATGTCAAGACGGACAGAGTCCAGCTGTTGGGAAGTAGCTAAAAGCTGATAAAGGAGTGAGCCTAGGAGAGAGAAGAGAAGGACCATGCTACCGTGAGCAGTGTACCACCAGCCCGGCCTCGGAGGGCTGGTGGGAGACGACGACTGACTGGGGCTGACTGACTCGGGACTGACAACCAATGACGACGACTGACTGGTGCTTTAACAATCTTCTTTTGCTTTATCTATTCCATTGCAAGAGGAGAGTCTCTGTTCTCTGATCTCTGTTCTCTGTTCCCTAACTACAAGAGTATCTGTTTAAATACTACTCTATTTAGAATAATTGTAATATTAAATGATCCTTTAAATTGTAATGGTTTGTCTGAATTAATTTAGTAGGCATCACCACTCTTGCCACGACACTTGTTTGATGTTCACAAAAGCCTTTTCTGCTTGTGTGTTCCACATGAGAGCAGAACCATAATTCTTGTAACCTGCCTCTGTCAGCATGGCACGGAGAGGTATCACCAGACTGGTGAAATCAGGTACAAAGTTCTTACTGAAGTTAATCAGTCCCAAAAATTTCATTATTTCTCTGACTGTGTTGGGCTTTGAATAACAGAGAATGTGTGTCTTTTGAGTCTCAGCTATGTGTAAGCCTGATGCTGACACCATGCGTCCCAGAAATGCAACTGTGTGCAACCTTGAAGCCTCCCTGAGCCAAGTACATAAACAATGCCTCTGTAGCAGACATTATGCTTTCTGAGTCAGGAGCAGCCAACAGCAGGTCATCGACATACTGAAGGAGAGAAACTCCAGGTGGCAGAACAAGATCTTTCAAGTATTGCCTCAAAATGTGATTTATGTGATACATGAATCAAAGTCCAGCTGTTCTGCCTGAGAGCTGTGACAACCCCCTAGGCAACAATTCTCTCATTTTTCTGTGTGGTCTAGAACTAATATGGAGCAGATCAACGACTACCTCTTCAGGTATAAAAGCTATATCTTTGTCAAGAGTATGACAACTACTGAGCACATTGATTCACTGCAGAGCTTTGAAATACAAGACAGTGACATATTCCTTGTCACTTATCCAAAGTCAGGTCAGTAAAACAGCTGTTTACAGCACTAGATCACATTATTTGTATTCATGGTGATCTGTCCTGCTGGGAACAGATTCACTGATGTGTGATTTCTCCAAACCGTTCCCCGTTAGGTATTTTTAGTCAGATAGAAATTGGATAGATACTTTATGTATTAGAAATGTTTAGTGGAGATAGGATGTCTAGTTAGACTGTTAAATGCTTAGTCATGCTTATGAGTTTCTACAGGGTACATCTGGTCAAGGATACCAGAGAGAAGAGTTGATGACTGTCAGCAGACAGGATGTTTAATATTATTATGATGTGTATAACTGTAGCCTTAGCCATAATATGTTCTTATGTTTAAGTCACGACATGTTACTAGACATTGATTTACTTCATGTTTTGACTACTGCTATGACCAGCTGCAAAGCTGGCAAGAGACGTCCCGGTTGACGTTTCTGTGTAGTATGGGGCTAGCCCAACCGAGGGGATATAATGTATAGGCCTGGTGGGTTCAGGGTCTTTCATCTTTCATCTGCCTGCGAGCAGTTTGGAGGTGCAAGATGCCTGAGCGTGTAATGTTAATTTTTACCTGTATTCATGGAATAAATCAGCACTGTTTTGTAGTTACTTGGACTGCCTCGTCTCTCAGAGTCAGTATGGTAAAAAGTACCGGGTACAACACCCCTCACAGGAACTATATGGGCTCAGCAGATCATCATCTCCATCTGTGAGTTAGGTGGAGGTCTCAATGAATATCCAAACAACTTGGAGCAGATGCCTTGGCTGGAGTACACAGAGGGTCGTGAAGATTACTCTCTGCGACCGTCTCCCTGTCTCTTCTCCTCTCACCTCACCCCAGCTCTCATGCCTTTGGGACTGAAGGCGAAGATGGCAAAGGTGTGTATTTTATGCACTGGTGGAAGAAGTAGTAATACCACAGTGTAACAGTACACTGTTACAAATAAAAGTCATGCATTCAAAATGTTACGTATATATGCAAAAGTATTAGCGTCAAGTACCAAAATTAAAAGTACCCATTATACACAATGACATATTTCACATTACTCTATAATACATTGAACCTGTGTTGTTGATATATTTTGATTTGAAGTATTGTACATTACATTAAATGAGGTTAACAGTATCTCACTTTAATAGAAAAAGGAAAGCATGTTTTCATGGTACTGAAAATTACACTTTTACACAGAACATAGTAATAGAAAATTCCGTCCAAGGCTAATTATAATTTATCTGCTGACAAATTTTCAAGTTAATTGTTTGGGTGATAAAATGTAGGAAAATAGTTATTCGGGGGCGGCTGTGGCTCAGAAGGTAGAGTGGGTGGTGTCCAGTCAACATGTTGAAGTGTCCTTTGAGCAAGACACTGAACCCCCAGTTGCTCCCGGTGATAATACTGGTGTGTGAATGTGTGAGTGCTTGGGAGTGTAAATGGGTGAATGGCCAAGTAGTGTGAAAGCGCTTTGAGTGTGCTGTAAAGCAAAGAAAAGTGCTATACAAGTATAAGACCATTTATTCCCCACAAAAAGAAAAGGCAATGTGTTAGTCCAAGTGTAACCCACCTGCGGTGATAACACCTGTATCAGCACTAGGGATCTAGGATAGAGTTATCAAAGTCTAGGTTCAATGAGGAGACTGGGAATGTACCTAAGCCACACAATTGGAAGGCTTATGGATCCCACCCCAATGAGCACAGGACAACAGGATATGCTTTACACTCATAACTGCAATTATTATTTAAAGAACTTCATTCAATATGTCAACATTCAGTACAAACCATATCACATGCTAAATGCAGTGTTCAACAAATTAGTCAGCATATACTTTTGCAAAACTCAGGTAAATAAATAAATAAATAAAACTCCACAATACATGAAATCAACAACAATACTTCTGAGTGCACTCAAGACATAAATTGTCCTACCACCCTTCCAATACTCAATGTTCAACCCAAAAAAACATCCAGTGGAGCCGTTGCAGCGCTGTTGATAGAGGAGCTGGACCGAGGACTCAGGCACCGTGATGAATGAGAAGAATCCAGAACTCGAAGAAGTCTCTATGACGAAACAGTCGATCTCTCGGCTGTGGGAGAATGTCAGTAAGCTATAATCCAACTGGGGGAAAAACACCTTCCGAGGCAGAGTCCACAGAGTCCTCTGGCTGAATGTCCAAAAGTTCAGAAAGATTAACAAATCTCTCACAGTGATTAATCTATGCCGTGATGTTTTCAGCCGATGCTGGATGAGGTCCCATTTGATGTCGTAGGCTCAGCATAACATTAGACTGGCCCGGAGACGTCCGCTGAAACTGGAGCCAACATTCACAGCATAACAGCAGATCACTAGAATCGAGGCTAGTGCTAGCTAGTATAGTGTAACAGATAGACGTCCAACGGAAAAACTAAAGCATCCACAATTCATTTACAGCGTATCTATTTTGTCTTCGCCACAACTGCAAACCTTTAACAAGCAATTTTTAACAAAGACAGACTTGCCTAGATGGACGCATATAATCAAAAAAACATACGTTTTCAGCTTAACTCTCTACCAACCCACTCCATCGGCCTTTTTCCTTCCTTTCTTTTTTGTCCAAGATAGAGAAAAAAAAATCCCTAGCCCATTCTCAGCACACTGCCACCTAGTGGCGAAACTATAACTGCACTAAGTCCGCCAAGTGCTTAGGTGAACACAATATATTAGGACCTTAACAGGGTTACACAAGGAAACATATTAATTTTATTTGTTATTGCAACAGTCAAAAACCTAAATATTTTCAAATTAATATAGTGCACACCAGGTCAAGCAGCAAATCTTCATATATTTGAGAATACAATTCATTAAACACAACTTTCTGAGTAAAAAAAATGTTGATGGCTGAATAGTGTAATTTTGACTTTTATTCACTTTTTCAAGAGCACTGGACTTCCACATTTAGTATATGTTAAATATCATCAAATACTGAAACATTTAAATTATGTCATGGCATGGAGGAGAAACTAATGTGTACTGGATCAGGTTAAATTCTGATTGTTGTGTTTGTCAGATCATCTACAGTATGCGATGCATAATCCAAAGGACAACATCATCTCTTATTACCAGTTCTGCAGTGTCTGCTCTGACGTGGAAACTCCGACGAGCTTTGAACAGTTTTTGGAGCAGTATTTGACGGGCAATGGTGAGATACCTCAGCTCCACAATCTGGATGATGATGATGATGATCAGACCAAATAGTCTGGTGCTGATAAATATGAAAAAAAAACAAATAATAAAAAAAAAAAAACAGTCAAATCAAACCAGGACATGTATGAAATGAAAAGCACAGCAGATCATAAAATTTTTAGGATTAATCTTCCACTCAGCATGGATTTCATTTCCATACAGAATTTCATGGCTGATTGTAAAGTTTTATTAGTACAGACTGAAGTGGTCTTCATTTGAAAGTCTTCTTGGACTACGTTGGATGATTTTACAGATTGTTGAAATAAATACAATATAATTTCTAGTCCAGACCACAACAGCATGTGAATAACTTCCAGTTTAAAGTCTTTTTGAATCATGTTGGTTGTATTTGCATACTGTTGGAATAAATACAGTATTTTCAAGAAACACATTTATGGAAGTCTTACATTAAGTGAAACATTATACATTTATACACTTGCAGGCTCGTCCTGGTTTGACCACATCAGAAAGTGGCATTCAAAGAAAGACCAGTACAACATCCGCTTCCTGACCTATGAGGACATGATCTTGGTAAGATGTGTTTTTCTCCTCAGGTTGTTCATGTGAAAACACTCCAATAAATTCTTTGTCAGAACTGAAGTTTTCCTCTGTTGGTCTCCTTTTTCTCTGTTTCAGGACCTGAAGGCAGCAGTAACTAAGATCTGCAGTTTCTTAGGAAAAAACCTCAGTGAAGCAGACGTTGAGCAAGTTGTAGAAAAAGCCACATTTAAAACAATGAAGAAAGACCAAAAAGCCAACTATGAGTTTGTATCAAAAGATATGATCAGTGGAAACTTCATGCGCAAAGGTAATGCAACATAACTGCAGCTCCTATACAAAAACATCAGGTGCAGCTTTAGTTTTTCATTGCAGGTCAGATTGATGACTGGAAGAACATCTTTACTGTTGCCCAGAGTCAAAGAGTTGATCAGCTGCTTCAGGAGAAAATCAGTGATCGGTCTCTGAAGTTCATCTGGGAATAATCAAAGCAGCAGCATCAACTCTAAGGTGTTTGTTCTTTGTCCTACAAATCTAAGACTCCAAAATTCATTTTTTGCTGTCGTGTACTAACATGTACAGCAGTTGCTAATGTGCATGCTGTTGATGTGCATCACAAAAAGTGCCCATTAAAATGATTTAAAACCAAACTTTATATGGCAACTAATATGGAAATATGGTTTTCAAAGTGTGGAGTAGTTTTCATATTTTAACTTATCTCATCATCCTAATTTCTACTTTAATCATTTTTATTGAGGTTTCTGTACAGTGTTTAATGTATTAGCTGGAAAATAAAGTGCACAGAGCAACGCAGAGGAAAAAAGCAAACAAATTTTCAACACTGTCCTTACCTCAAATGCATGGTATCCATTCTTCTGTTCAAACCCTATTTTTCATAGTGTCAGTTCCATGTTTACTATAATAAAGTACAACACTGCAAGAAATAAAAAAACAAAAAACAAAAAATGGCACAGAAGCATTTAAGAGCATTTTGAAAGTTTCCACTCAAAATATTAATAAATAGTTCAAATTTATTATATTGTTTTATTTACTGATACAAAACAGAATAATGTTAAGTGAAATTACATCTGTCTATAGATGTAAAGAGATTTTGTGTCAGCTATTTTTGTGCCTTTTCTTTGAGGTAATATAAATCATCGAAAATATTAATATTCTCTTCTCTGACATGATTTATAAATAAAGCTGTTTCCTTAAACAAAAAAAGAGTTTAGTGTTAAAAAACTATTTGCAAACTGTGTTGTGTATATAAACCATACTATAGGTGTCAATCTGCACCAGTCAGCATTTCAAATACATTATATAATACAACTGTTTGCACCATGTAAAATCGAACTCAGCATTTCAGAATCAAAGTCCAGAGTCCAGCTGCTGAAGCCAAGAGCTGCGACAACCTTATCAGTAACATTTCTCTTGTTTTTTTGTGTGATTCACTACTAACATGGAGCAGATCAGTGACTACCTCTGCAGGTATAAGAACTACATTTTTAACAGGGCTACATCTGCTGAGCACATTGATTCACTGCAGAGCTTTGACATACGAGACAGTGACATATTCCTCGTCACTTATCCAAAGTCAGGTCAGTAAAACAGCTGTTTACAGAACTGGATCACATTATTTGTGTTCATGGTGATCTGTCCTGCTGGGAACAGATTCACTGATGATGTGTGATTTCTCCAAACTGCTCCCCCTCACAGGAACTATATGGGCTCAGCAGATCATCATCTCCATCTGTGAGTTAGGTGGAGGTCTGAATGAATATCCAAACAACTTGGCGCAGATGCCTTGGCTGGAGTACAAGAAGGATCGTGAACCCTACTCTCTGCGACCGTCTCCCCGTCTCTTCACCTCTCACCTCACCCCAACTCTCATGCCTCCAGGACTGAAGGACAAGAAGGCAAAGGTGTGTATTTCATGCACTGATGGAAGAAGTAGTAGTACCACAGTGTAACAGTACGCTGTTGCAAATAAAAGTCCTGCATTCAAAATGTTATTTAAGTAAAAATACAAAAGTATTAGCAACAAGAACCAAAATTAAAAGTACCCATTATACACAATGACATATTTCACATTACTCTATATTACATTGAACCTGTGTTAACTTTTGATTTGAAGTTTTACACATTACATTAAATCATGTTAATAGTATCTCACTTTAATAGCAAACAGAGAGCATGTTTTCATGGTACAGAAGATTACACTTTGACACAATACATGCTAATACAGTTCTGTGCAAGATTAAAATGAATTTATCTACTGATTAATTTGAGATCATTCGTTAGTTTAAAAAATGTAGGAAAATAGTTTTTTCCCACAAAAAGGTTCCAAGGCAACATGTTAGTTATTTGTTAAACCAACAGTCAAAAGCCAAAATATTTTCAAATTACTACAATGCAAAAGAGGTAAAGGAGCAAATCCCCATATTTTAAAAAATACAACCATCAAATGTTTATAATTTGAGAAGTTGATTGAAACATTTACTTATGTGATTAACTGAATATAGAAGTTACAGACTGATATTTTATAGGACTAACACATGAATTATATCATTCAAAGGTAAAATAAATTAACATTTGTATGTCCTGAAACACAATGATAAGATAATTCAAAGTTAAAACAAATTAACATTTGTACATTGTGAAACACATGGATAAAAACACAAGACTAAAATTACCAAACTTATTAGATAAAATGTAAAAGCAAACCAAATCATTAAACACAACTTTCTAAATAAAAAAAATGTTGATGACATAATATTGTAAATTAGACTTTTATTACATTTTTTGAAAGCACTGGGCTTCCATATTTAGTATGTGTTTAAATATCAAATACAGAAAATTATGTCATGGCATGAAGGAGAGACTAGAGTGTATTGGATCAGATTAAATTCTGATTGCTCTGTTTGTTTATCAGATCATCTATGTGATGCGTAATCCAAAGGACAACATCATCTCTTATTACCACTTCAGCAGTGTCTACTTTAACATGGAAACTCCGACGAGCTTTGAACAGTTTTTGGAGCAGTACTTGATGGGCAATGGTGAGATACCTCAGCTCCACAATCTGGATGATGATGATGATGATGATGATGATGATCAGACCAAATAGTCTGGTGCTGATAAGTTAAAAAATAAATAAATGAATCCAAATAAACCAGGTCATGTATGAAATGAAAAGCACAACAGACCATAAAATTTGCACGATTAATCTCCTACTCAGCATGGATTTCCACACAGAATTTCATGGCTGATTGTAAAGTTTTATTAGTACAGACTGGACAGAGTGGTCTTCATTTGAAAGTCTTCTTGAACTATGTTGGATGGTTTTGCAGAATGTTGAAATAAATACAGTATATTCAAGAAAAAAAAATTATGGAAATCTTACATTAAGTGATACATTATACAATTATAGTCTCATTTCATGGCTGATTGTAAAGTTTTATTAGTACAGACTGGACAGAGTGGTCTTCATTTGAAAGTCTTCTTGAACTATGTTGGATGGTTTTGCAGAATGTTGAAATAAATACAGTATATTCAAGAAAAAAACACATTTATGGAAATCTTACATTAAGTGATACATTATACAATTATAGTCTCAGGAGCATCCTGGTTTGACCACATCAGAGAGTGGCATTCAAAGAAAGACCAGTACAACATCCTCTTCCTGACCTATGAGGACATGATCTTGGTAAGATGTGCTTTTCTCCTCAGGTTGTTCAAGTGAAAACACTCCAATACATTTTTTGGTCATCAGTGGAAACTTCATGCGCAAAGGTAACATAACAGCCCTCAAAGCCCAACTGAAGCAGTCAGCACCTGTGCAGAAATAGCAGTAACTAAGATCTGCAGTTTCTTATGGAAAAACCTCAGTATTCATTTTTTTCATTGCAGGTCAGATCGGTGAATGGAAGAACATCTTTACTGTTGCTCAGAGTCAAAGAGTTGATCAACTGCTTCAGGAGAAACTCGGTGATCTGTCTCTGAAGTTCATCTGGGAATAAACAAAGCAGCAGCATCAACCTTCAGATGTTTGTTCTTTGTCCTACAAATGTACAACTCAAATTAATTTCTTCTCTGTCAGTCTTATATTAACAACATGCACAGCAGTTGCTAATGTGCATGCTGTTGATGTGCATCACAAAAAGTGCCCATGTTGATCAGCTGCTTCAGGAGAAACTCAGTGATCTGTCTCTGAAGTTTTTTGGTAGTAGGGAAAAATGAGTGCACACACATGGGCAGAAGAGAATAAATAAATAAAACCAATTTACTGATTTTACTGATTTTGCTGAAAGTCAGAAGGAAATAAACTGTCTTTCTATACATATGGTGAAGGTTGGTTTGGTCACTAGAGCAGACTCAGCACTTCAGTTCTCTTCATCTAGAAAGAAAAGGAGGGCAGAAGTTGGAGAACGTGTTTCTAGCAGTAAAACCAAACTTTATATGGCAACTAATATGGAAATATGGTTTTCACAGTGTGGAGTAGTTTTTATTCACTAACTCATGATCCTAAATTCTGTTTCGGTAATTTTAATCATTTTTATTGAGGTTTCTGTACAGTGTTTAATGTATTAGCTGGAAAATAAAGCACAGAAAAACTTAGAACAAATAAAGCAAACAAATTTTCAACACTGTCCTTACCTCAGTTGAATGGTATCCATTCTGTTCAAACTCAATTTTTCATGTTTACTGTAATAAAGTACAACACTGCAAGAAACAAAATACAAGAAATGGCACAGAAGCATTTAAGAGCATTTTGAGGGTTAACACTCAAAATATTAAATAGTTCAAAGCTGTGATAAATATTGCTTTGCTGATACAAAACAGCAGAATGTTAACAGAAATTTTGTCTATAGATGTAAAGAGATTGTGTCAGCTATTTGTGCCTTTTCTCTTTGTTAATATAAATCATTGAAAATATTAATATTCACTTCTCACATGATCTATAAATAAAGCCGTTTCCTTTAATAAAAGATTGCAAATAGTTTAACACTAAAAAACTGTGTATATAAACCATACTATAGGTGTCAATCTGCATCAGTCAGCATTTCAAATAAATTATATAATCCAACTATTATATAATTTAACAACAGAATATACCGCAAGGGGAAGGTTCTGGGTTCGGGCCCCACCCGGGACCTTTCTGTGTGGAGTTTGCATGTTCTCCTCGTGCTTGCGTGGGTTCTCTCCGGGTACTCCGGCTTCCTCCCACAGTCCAAAGACATGCAGCTTAGGTTGATTGGTGTCTCTAAATTGCCCATAGGAGTGTGTGCGTGTGTGCGTGGTTGTTTGTCTCTGTGTTAGCCCTGCAATGGATTGGCGACCTGTCCAGGGTGTACCCCGCCTTCGCCCGATTGCCGGCTGGGATTGGCTCCAGCAAAAGCCTAAATATTTTTCAAATTGCTACAATGCACAAGAAGTAAAACACCAAATTCCCACATTTTAGAAAATACAACCATCAAATGTTTATTTTTGACAAGTTGGTTTAAACATTTACAAATGTGATTAACTGAATATAGAATGTAGCTGGAATAACATGTGCAAGGAAAAATGCTGGAAAGTCTGAACAGGCATTAGAACAATCTGGCAGCTTTCCACAGTGTAAGAAGCTGCCTATATGCTATTGTAACCAGGTGTGAGCAGGCAAAACCAATCTGGGTGATGAGATAAGTTCCCAGGAGTCAAGGTGAGCTGGGGACAGGAAGTAGTATCAAAATAAAAGCATGAGACAGGAAGCAGATGGGTCAAAAACATGACAGGTCCACAATCTGCTCCACAATCTGGATGATGATGATGATCAGACCAAATAGTCTGGTGCTGATAAATCAGAACAAAAATAATTAAAATAAATAAATCAGTCAAATCAAAGCAGTCCATTTATGAAATGAAAACCACAGCAGATCATAAAATCTGTAGGATTAATCTCCTACTTAGCATGAATTTCCATACAGAATTTCATGGCTGATTGTAAAGTTTAGTACAGACTTAAGTGGTCTTCATTTGAAAGTCTTCTTGAACTATGTTGGTTCAAGAAGAAAGACCAAAAAGCCAATTATGAATTTGTTCCAAAAGAGATGATCAGTGGAAACTTCATGCACAAAGGTAACACAACATAACTGCAGCTGCTATAGACAATCTGAACACATCCATGTCAGGTGCAGCTTTAATTTTTTTAAGATCTGCAGTTTCTTAGGAAAAAACCTCAGTGAAGCAGCCATTGAGCAAGTTGTAGAAAAAGCCACATTTAAAACCATGAAGAAAGATCAAAAAGCCAACTATGAGTTTGTATCAAAAGAGAGGATCAGTGGAAACTTCATGCGCAAAGGTAACAACTGCAGCTCCTATAGAGAAACATCTGAACACATCCATGTCAGGTGCAGCTTTAATTTTTTCATTGCAGGTCAGATCGGTGACTGGCAGAACATCTTTACTGTTGCCCAGAGTCAAAGAGTTGATCAGCTGCTTCAGGAGAAAATCAGTGATCTGTCATTGAAGTTCATTTGGGAATAAACAAAGCAGCAGCATCAACCTTAAGATGTTTGTTCTTTGTCCTACAAATCTAAAACTCAAATTCATTTTTTTCCTCCTTCTTATACTAACATGCACAGCAGTTGCTAATGTGCATGCTGTTGATGTGCATCACAAAAAGTGCCCATTAAAATGACTTGACTCAGTCTGAGACTTTGGTAGTAGTGAGAAATAAGCACACACACGAGCAGAAGACAATAATGAAGAGCAGTTGGCCAATTTACTGACTTTGCTGAAAGAAGGAAATAAACTGTCTTTCTATACATATGAAGGTTGGTTTGGTCACTAGAACCGACTCAGCACTTCAGTTCTCTTCATCTAGAAAGAAAAGGAAGGCAGAAGTTAAAGAACACGTTTCTAGCAGTAAAACTTTATATGGCAACTAATATGGAAATATGGTTTTCAAAGTGTGGTGTAGTTTTTAATACACTAACAACTCATTCTAAATTCTGTTTTAGTAATTTTAATCAATGTTTCTGTACAGTGTTTAATGTATTAGCTGGAAAATAAAGCACAGAAAAACCTAGAACAAATGAAACAAATTTAACACTGTCCTTACCTCAAATACATGGTATCTATTCTTCTGTTCAAACGTTTTCAATAGTGTCTGTTCCACATTTACTGTAATAAAGTACAACAATGAAATACAAGAAATGGCACAAAAGAATGAGCATTTTGAAAGTTTCCACTCAAGATATTAAAAAAATATTTCCAAGTTTGTGATAAATATCCTTTTATTTGCTGATACAAAACAGCAGAATGTTAACTGAAATTACATCTGTCTATAGATGTAAAGAGATTGTGTCAGCTATTTGTGCCTTTTCTTTGAGGCAACATAAATCATCGAAAAAATTAATATTCTCTTCTCTGACATGATTTATAAATAAAACAGTTTCCTTTAATAAAAACTATTTGCAGTCTTTTATTAAACACTAAACTGCTGTGTATATAAACCGCACTATAGGTGTCAATCTGCACCAGTCAGCATTTCAAATACATTATATAATGCAACAGTTTACAACATGTGCAAATCAAAATCAGCATTTCAGAACCAAGGTCCAGAGTCCAGCTGCTGTAGCCGAGAGCTGTGACAACCTTAGAACATTTCTCTCGTTTCTGTGTGATTCACAACATGGAGCAGATCACTGACTACCTCTGCAAGTATAAGAACTACAATTTTGTCCGTTGTACGGTAAACACCGAGCACATTGATTCACTACAGAGCTTTGAAGTACGAGACAGTGACATATTCCTCGTCACTTATCCAAAGTCAGGTAAGTAAAACAGCTGTTTACAGAACTATCACATTATTTGTGTTCATGGTGATCTGTCCTGCTGGGAACAGATTCACAGATGATGTGTGATTTCTCCAAATTCCATCTTTTCACAGGAACTATATGGACTCAGCAGATAATCATCTCCATCTGTGAGTTAGGTGGAGGTCTGAATGAATATCCAAACAACTGGGAGCAGATGCCTTGGCTGGAGTACATGGAGGGTCGAGAAGACTACTCTCTGCGACTGTCTCCACGCCTCTCTCTTCTCCTCTCACCTCACCCCAGCTCTCATGCCTCCAGGACTGAA